AATTGAATTGAATTGAATAAGCAATATCGATAATGGAACTGGAATCTCTAAATTCTATCATTTCACATCCCTAACAATGAAGAATTTAAAAATCTAATGTTGCTCTAATATTGAAAGTATATTGCAAGTAAAGTGGATTCAGCTTTAGCATTAGTTTCTGTCAGATATCTAAAATGTCACAGAGAAAGCTAGCCTTGATGCTTTTAGTATGTGACCAGAGCAAATGCAGGTTTTCTCCAAAAGACTAAAACTAAATCAGTCTCGTGCCAAAATCGACTGTCTGTTTAAAGACAGGAAACACCAAAATATGAGTGACAGTTATTAGTATTAGAATTAACATTACCACCAATGAACAGATCCCTTAGAAGATATAGTATAGAATTATTTTTAAAAGCGACATTTAGAAGGGATCCCTTAGGTTTGGGTCACCCCCACTTAAAATTCAAGGTTTCAAGGTCACCTTGAATGAGAAGAGAAAGCAGCAGGTGGAAACGGGAGGCAACGAAACCCTCAGCTTACATTATGAATGCTTTCCCAGTTAAGATTGTGTCAGAGTGAGTTAAGGTCAGTGAGCATGCTTATTAGCCTGTCAGGTAAATGACTGTGAGATCAATTACACTCCTAATGGCTCAGAACCTCATGCTGATTATGATCATTATTTCCTTATTATGTCTGTCGTCAGTATAAAATCTGTGTTTATTAATATGCATTTATAAAAAATACTTTTAATCTCTAGGAAACAACTGGCATCTTTTCATGAGGTTTTCAGGAAGTTACTGAAGTTGGTTAACATTCATACCAGGGGAGCGTGGTGAAGAAAGACGAGCTAAAATTAGGAAATTACAGTGACGTCAGCTGGAAGTAGCAACTCTCGTCGGCGCGGGGTTTTTCCTTTAGTCGAGATTCCTTTTTGTAAAAATGCACAATGGATACATAATGTGTGTGTGTATATATAACGTGTGTACGTGTGTTCCTGTCTAGCTGTCTTTGTGAGGACTGAAATCTGCATTCTGCTATCCTTGTGAGAACCAACAGTCACTTGTGAGGACACGCAACCCGGTCCTCAGAAATTTGAAGGCATTTAAAGACATTTTTGAGGCTCAAAATGTGGTTTTAGTGTCAGGGTTACAATTAGGTTATGGTTAGGTTTAGGGTTAGGCATTCATTTTTAATGGTTAGGGCAGTGGTTCCCAAACTTTTTTTGCT